TGTGAGTTGCTTCGAACAGATTGGTGGTATGGGTTGGATTTCCGATTGGAATGGATTTCTGGGTATTTTCTGGAAATGTAGCAAAATGACTTATGGTTTAAGTGAAGAATTGTGGTTTTGACTGCTATTATTTGGGTGTGTTGAAGTTGCGATGGTTGGAGAGTTGAAGATCGCTAGAATTGCTTTCTGGCGATTGAGATTTTGAGATGAAATGGATATGGCAGTGGTGTTTTTGGTTTGATTGGTTGAGGTTGAAAAATATTTCTTGGGTATTTTTTTGTTGTTTGCAGCGGCTAAAGATGGAGGTTGGATTTGTTGTTTGGGTTGTGATCGAAAACTGGTTGAAATATTAATTGGTTTTTGGCAGGAGGTTTGTGTATTGATGATGGTTATCAGAGCCTTGAGCTCAGTATTTGACCAACGGGTGAGAAATTAGAGCCGAGAACTACCTCCAATAATAGGTATGACTTAACATATGGGTTTGACTGTGAGGAAAGTGTTGAAGTCCTACACTGACTAGACACGCTTAAGCCTATTGGTTTATAAGAAGGGGTAATTCTTATATTCAATAAGGTTTTATTGAATGAGAAGTCAAGCGCACCTCAAATTCTATCAGTTGCCACCTTGGTTTTTGCTGCAGCTTTTACAATGCCTGGCACCAAAGAAGAGACACGGACTCCTAACTTCATTCAGAAACTTCCCTTTAGAATTTTTGTCATATCTGATGCAATATGGCTGGTATCATCATCTTGCTTTATAATAACATTCTTATCCATTCTCACTGCACGATATGCAGATGAAGATTTTCATTATGTGTTGCCTAGGAAGTTGGTTGTTGGATTCTCAAAGCTTTTCTTGTCAATAGCAGCAATGATGGTAGTGTTTTGTGCAACTATTTTCATTGTCTTCAAAGATGGAGAGATTAGGATTCCTACTCTTGTTAGCATGATTGCTTCCTTGCCTGTCATTCTGTTCACCAACCAACAGTGGCGACTTCTTTATGATGTAGTGCATTTCCAAGACAAGTAAATGCTCTCTTTTTGATGCTGATGATGACGACGAAGAAAAACCATGGAACCTTAAAAATTGGAAGGCAACAGTACAGTGGACCCTAAATTGTAGCTAGTTTTGAATATAACATTAGTTTCTTGAAAGAACAGAGTATATAATATAAATTTGTTCTGCTTTTCGTGATTGAATTATCTTTCTATATATGCCGTCACAATTATGAAGTATTCTAATTAAACTTACTTTCCAGGCTCAAAGGAATTATTCTGTTGAAATTCGTACTTGAGTACCATTTTCTTTAGCTTTACCATTTTGTCCAGAGAAGAGTGAAGTGTAACAATCACTTAAACATTAGAGTTGTGAAAGCTTGCACTTAGGATTTTCCTCTTTATTTACGGGTTCAGAGAATGGCACTTTAAATTTAATTATTTTTACTACTTGTATTGCATCAATGAAATGCTTCAAAAGCTTTTAGAGTGATAGGATGGCTTGATGTACAATTCTTAAATGTATAACATCATTCATGTTTAAATTAAATACCATTTGGCGCTTTCTGTTTGAAATAGATAAGGTTGATGGCTCCAATGTGGTCTTTCTTGCTTATAGACCCACACTCATCAATATCATCAGCCTGCTTCTATATATAATTGAAAGACATTAATTTATGGCCCCATCTATTGACTTTGAAGTCTTTGTATAATATTGCCCCTGAAAGAGTATTTTAATTAGTCAGTCTTTGTCTCCACTCTCCACGTGAAAACTTCCCTTTTTTAAAGCAGCAGATTGCATCCTAGCTAGCTACCAAAAGAGGGAACTATTTCAACCTATCTCTTATTTAATTTTGTTCTCCTTCCACCCTCAAATCTATTATCGCTCATTGTATGTTCGGGGCTTGCTTAGGTGTACAAATGTACAAATGAATATCCTGGCTCGATATTAAAACTTGACTATGATTTCTACAGACATCGTCATGAATAAATCTTCAAACTCGTTTATGACATAGGTTCGTTTTAGGATTTGACAGCTACATTTCTAGATAGGGAAGGCAACAACAAAATATCACATCTGTTCAGGTGCCAATCGACAACAAAAGAGATACAAGAGTTCATATTCTTATTCAAAAAGTATCATTTGCCGTATCTTTGATATCCTACTTAACCTCAATTATGATCTTCCTATCCCTTTATACTTCCAGCTATGAAGAAGAAGATTTCCTTTTCTGGTTACCTGCAAAGTTGGCCTTTGGAATTTTGACACTTTTCCATGTCAATAGCATCTATGATGGTGATATTTTGTTCAACATTATTCATTGTCTTCGACCAAGGAATGCTTGCGCTTGTCATCATTGTTTATATAATTGCTGCTGTCCCACTCACCTGGTTCTTGAAGCAACAATTCCCCTTTGGCAAGTAATTCGTTGGTATATGAGCAGTACTCTCTTCCATTCAAGAAAACACACTCTTTTCAACAAAGAAAATATATTTAACCACAAATGATAGAACAAGCTTCGCAAGAGTTTGAGTAATTAAGATCCCTTTAATCTAGTGAAACAGGTAGTCTCCTGTTGACGTAATTTTTTAGTGAAAATCGATTGTGTATTCACTGTATTGTGTTTGATTGTAGTTTGCTTGTTGGTTGTGATATTAATGGCATTTGGAGAACTTTGGTTCATGAAATCCACTCAAACAAGGTCCTGAATGTATTATTTGGGATAGTCCATAAGGTGTTCGACAAAAGTCCCAAGCGACCACAAGTGCACATTAGTATGTTTTCGGTTGTGCCGTCAACGTATATAACATATCTGACTGTAGTATTGGCATTACGTTATTCTGAATATGCGTTTATTGCTCTTGGTAATGACTTTACTTTGGAAAAATGAGTGTTGAATATGAATTTGGGTGCAAATTGGAGCCGCTCTTTCATTGTTCTTGGTAATGACTTTGCATTGTAAAAAAGTTGGTGAATTGAAAGCCAACACATTCAGTAAATATACAAACATGATTACATGAATGAAGAAACTATCGTCTTAAATTCCAAGGCTTTTGTGTATATTAGTGTTCGTATGATTTTCTCATCCATTTCAGCTTCCCCTTTTTAATAACAAGGAATATAACATCAGTTGGTTTTCCAACTTTCCTCTGCATTCCTTCAGGTAATGTTGATTCAGATGATGATGAGGTCCGTTTGGATTCCACAAATTCTGCAGTTAAAACATCTGAGCTCAATTATATGCATTTTGCCTGTACTTGTTATGGTTGATCTAAAGCATTAGACCAATTAAATGATGTTAAAGAAATATTCAATTCTCTATAGACCTTCCAAACAATGGCAAATACATTCTAAAATTGTGGTTTGTTCTTCCCCTATATTTTCCTCTCACATTTTGGTTAAAAGCATGAAGTTTAGATTGCAGGTTCTTTATCATTTCATCTCTTTTGGCCTTTCCCTTGTTTACCAAAACTGACGAACATCACAACAATATATACTAATGTACTATATATTGTAAATATAATATTTTAGAATTACATGTAATTTGATCTCACTGTTCTGTAGTGATTTCAAGAAGAAACTTGGTATGGAAATGGAAGCATACCACCAGCTTCGAAGTCCTTTCCAAGTAAGTGTATCTTGAAACTTGGTATGGAAATGGAAGCATACCACCAGCTCAAGTGTTCTTACCAAGTAAGTGTATCGGAGCTTCATTTTACACATAAGTCAACTCAGTCTGTATGTATCAAACATCCACGATTAGTAAACCAATTATGATAAGTTATATATATGTCAATTCTGAAAAGATCCATTACGCATTTAAGTCTTTGACTTTTGAGTGTATGCAGCCAAGGTCTCTAATCTATATCTCTTTCTCAATTTTTTTTCTTTTTCTACTGAACTGACTTTCAATACTCTCATGGTATCTCCATGCTCAAACTCTGTTTTTTTTTTTTTTTTTTTCCCCTGATTGACAGTAATGAATACGCCAACCCAACCTACTATACTCTATTATCTATTACCGTGTAAGCAAACAGTTGTGTTCACATTATTTTTATTTTACTAAAACCACAAAGTAGTTGACCAATACTATATAATAATCTGGTAGCGAATGGACGGTGCTGAAGAAAAATCCTTCTTTGGTCATATGAGATCGGAGTTTCTTAATGTCATTGACATTTCTCATTGTTTACTCTTTGAAAGATTAGGTTAAAAGAGTGAAAACTTAGTTTTTAATAATTAATTCGAATATAATTGGGGTGTTAAGGTGGGGTCATGGCGCCTTTGGAATTGAGGGTTATCCACGTAATTTCCCTCCACTGCACTGGAAATCTTTCTTTATAAATTTTGCTCTTCATTGGAGAATCTTTGAAAGAATTGAACTCATCCTTTCCTTCTGAATTTTTCTTTTTGAAGCTGCGAATTGCATCCAGGCCATATTAAAAGAGGTAGATCATTTTTTTTTTTTTTTTTTTTGAATTTTATTTTAGATTGCCATAAATTGCTACCAAATATTTAAATTAGATCAGTGTTAAATATATGTGAATTGTGAAGAAATGCTTTCAGAAATTAAGATAGTGATTTCTCAACCTCATAAACAAAGTGCTGATGCGTTTTGATATTCTGCTTTATTGTGAATTCTAAGTTGTATATATAGTCTGCATCCCTTTATAATTAATTCATATAAATTTACTGGACTTCTTCAATTTTAAAGTCCAGCTAGTTTCATCTGAAATTATATAGTCTTATTGTAAATTAAATTCAACTTTACATTATCTAAATTTCTTTGCAGGCTTTATCACAAAAATGGCTACTAGTGATCAAGTGACAGTTGACATTCCACCCCAAATGGATGAGTTACATGAAATTGAGAACGAGCTTGTCACATCTCCTCAAGAACATAATGGTATGATTCAACAATATTATCTTATAAACTGTATTTTTATACTATATATGTATAAGCGCATAATAAGTATAACAAAATGTTGTGGAATCAAATAGTGATGGATACAACGATTGCATCACAAAATCAGCTGTCTCATGAAGAAATAGTTGAGATTAGGACATCTCTTCCTCAAGATCAAGATGTTACGTACAGTTTATAATTTGTCTATTATTTTCAGTCTATATTTTTAAAGATGAAATGTTTTTAATATCCTTTCATTTTAAAATTTTTAAAGTTCTCATAATCATTTAATATTAGTTTAAAAATATATATATATATTTTAACATTTTGTTAAGTTGTTATTTCACCTAAAATATTAAACGATTAGATAAGGGCTCCACATATATTAGACCAATAGACCCTCTCACATCAAATTTAGATTTTTTTTTTATTTTCTTTATCCAATTTATATGTAGGGATCAGAACTTTAGACTTTTGACTCTAATACTATCAATTTTAAGTTGTCATTCTACTTAAAACCTTAAACCAATAGGTTTCAATATATATTAGACTAATAGGCCTCCTCACACATTTTCCTCAAATTCGTTAAATTGACTGTTGGAAATCAAATAAACTAAAATTATATATTTTATTACCAGTAATAATTTTGTTATGCTAATTTCTGTGAAATTGTAAGCAAACGGTGCTAACTTGCTTACAAACTTTCCTTGCATTTTTAGCAGCTACTTTCTATAACAAGAGATTCAGAGTTTGTAAGATTAATAAGAGTTTATTTCATAAAATTCTTTCAATTTCAACAAGGATTATTAAGGGGAACTTAGGATTTATCTTAAGGCGTGTATATGTCCCTTTATTCATAAGAAGTAATAATGCGGAATATAGTTTTCTCATAAATTATTTTCTTCTTCCTATTTGTGTTGTTGAGTTGGTGTCATGTTATTATATTGTACTTTTATTTTTCTAAATTGCATTGAATCAACAGTTTATCATTTTATACATATATATACATGCATATATTCAATTGATATTATTGATAAGTTTTTTAATTAATTAATACTAACAATATTCAAAACTGAAACATTTTAAATTTTATTTATCGGAAAATCTTACACATTAAATTCGACTTACATCTATAAATACATAAAGTTGCTAACATGGTTTACAACAAATATGTCTATTGATGAAGAGATGATTAACATTGCACAAGAAAATGAGGAACATGAAAGAATGGATGAACATGTGATTTACACAAAATTTTGACTAATGAAATACATACCAATCCGTTCTCCTCCTCTAGAACGGATTGGTATGATTCGATATTAACTTGTAAATTGCATGTTATATTATTTCATACTTTTAAAGATGTAATGTCTCGATAGATCTTTCCACGTGTCTTTAATTTTCTTTAATAATCGTTTTGGTTTCTCTACAACAAAAAGAAAATTATAATTTTTATCTAGTATTATATAAGTGCAACACATGAGATTTACACAAAATTTTGACTAATGAAATAGTGAGTGGTATAACAGTTGTGTCAAAGAATGAGTCATCAGATGAAATAATTGAGAATGACACATTGATTTCTCATGAAGGCCAGCTTGGTACGATTTAATATTATCTGTTAAATTACCTATTATTTTATTTTGTATTTTCACTAGATGCATCGTTTTGTGTTCCTTTCATTTTCACTTCTGCAAACTTCTTACCATGTAAACTAAATGTTAAACTATTCTATACATGCTTTCGCTTCTTTAACAATCGCTTTGGTTTTTCCTACACCAAAAAAGAAATAAACTTTGTTTACCTACTTTTATATAAATACACAAGATTTATCACAAAATTTTGACTAACAAAATAGTGAATAGTACAATAGCTAGATCAAAAAAATGGGCCGGATTCATATAAATCAAAGGCAAAAAACATCTTTTTTTTTTTTTTTTTTTTTAAATTTTGGGGGGAAAATGATATGCTAGCTCTTTATTCGTTAAGGAAATAAAGATAGAAGATTCATATTAGCACACAAGATATAATTCTACCTTACAATGAAAACATTCATTAAAATTGAGATCACAAACCATGTGACCATTTTATTTATTTTATAGGGTGTCCCTGACATCTTCACCTAGACATATTGGTGTCACTTATTACATTTATTATTTCCTTTGTAATTCTAGAAAATATATATATATATATATATGGCTAACAATCTATCCGGAAATTTTTTTTTTTTTTTGAAAAACAAATTGTTTTAATAGGTTGTAATGGTCTATTCAATAATTTTGGCAAGAGGATTTATAAATGTGACAAAGTTAACATAATAAACTTTTTATATATCAAAACCCTACATGTAACCTTTGATAGTTGTACTTAATTATCTTCTGTTAATTTTAATCATCAGAGTTTAATGTGACCGTATCGGTGGACTCTTCCACCATAGAAGAAGAAACAGTGCTACTGTTGCAAAATTCTATCTCATTCTCGGAAGGTAAAGTCTTTTTTATTATATTGATTATAGGCTATAGCATCTCTTTTATTACGTGTAGCAAAAATTTTATTCATAAACTTGTTCTTTTTTCAACTTGACAGAAATTGAAAGGAGAAATAGGCACTTCAAATTGTACGTGGCTACATTGAATGGTGATTGGAACACTGCCGAAAGAATTTATGAGGAAGATAATATTGATGCACAAGTTAAGCTATCAAAGGATGGGAACACCGCTCTACATGTTGCAGCTGCAGCAAGGCACACTGGTTTTGTGAAAAAGCTGCTTGAAAAAATGAATAAAGAGGATTTAGCCGTAAAAAACAATGCTGGCAATACGGCCTTTTTTCTTGCAGCTGCGTCCAAAAGGGTTGAAATTGTCAAGGATATGATGGAGAAGAACAAAGACATAGTAAAGATTAGAGGAGACAATAGTATGTTACCGCTTCACAAGGCAGCTCTAGTGGGAGACAGAGACATGGTGGAGTACCTTTATGAAGCCACGGGAGATGAGTTGTTAGATAGTAATGATCGCTTCGAATTGCTTGTCAATCTGATAAACCATGGTTTGTATGGTAAGTTTTAATATTTATATTTGGGCTAGTTAATTAGACGAGTTTTAAAAGTTGAGTCATACTCTAATTTTTGTTCCCTGATCCTATCTTACGAATCGAACATGGTTGGTCAGCCAAAAAACTAGGCTGGCAAGCCACCCGGTTGAGCCCTCGAGATAAACAGCTTGGTAAATTTATATCATATAAATATTCAACTTAACAGTCCTCAATCACATACTAATTACAAAGATAATTATATGCCGATCACTGTCTTCCTAGATGTTGCATTGGATTTGGTGGAGAGGCACCCACAGATAGCTCTAGCTCGTGATAAATATGGGGAGACAGCATTGCATCTCTTGGCACAAATGAATGTATTGACGAGTGTTTTAGATTTCAACCTCTTTAGAATTTGCACGAATTCAGCTATCTACCTATGTTAGTTCTCTCTAATCATTAACACTTTCAGATTGTCTTAATTAGTTTTTTTTTTTTTTTAATCATAATATAAATATATGATTGTAAGTAAGGAAAAAGGGTGGTTAATTTCATTTTGTTTCAAAGCAGATAATGAAGCAAAAAGAGAGGTGATAAAGAGATATCATTCACTGTTTGGGAGGCAGCGGGTGAAGGTGAGGAATGAGCTGAGCTTGAGGGATCGAATGAATGAGAGGGAGCAACTGATGAATGAGAGAAAGCAACGGAGGACGAAAAGGCTGGGCTGGTTGTGTTGGATATATGAGACGAGTCGTCAACTGCTTTGTGGGTATTTATGGGTGCACTACTAGAATCACGCCAATATTAAATACAAATGAAAATTCTCATGTGTAACTTAAAATATAGAGATTAAATTTCAGTTAACAAAAGTTAGTTATTGTCTATGAGCATTTTTAGTGTGTCATTAAGAAGATAAATCAAGTTCCTATTTTATGTTGACGAAAGTAAATTTCAGTTAACAAAAGTTAATTATGTTCTTCTATCGATTTAGAATTAATTAATTGCTTCTCTGATATTTTCCTCATCCTCAACTTTTCTGTAAACTAATGTTGCTTAATTAAACTTGTTTCAGCTAGTGGTCAAGAGATTCCCGAGTCAGCTTTTGAACTAGTCGAATGTCTTTGGAAACAAGTTATGCTTCTGGATGACTCCCGGATTTTGGAAATTATTAGAAAACCCCGGTCTCTAATATTCGAGGCTACAAAACAAGGAAACCTTCGGTTCCTAAACATAATTTTCTGCACATATCCTGACCTAATGTTTGAAGTTAACGAAAATCTTTACACCATACTTCATTTTGCTGTTATGTATCGTCGCCGTGGAATTTTCAGCATGGTGTGTGGCATCGATCAATTTAAGGATTTGGTAGTTCGTGACACAGATGAAGAAGGGAACAATATCTTGCATTTGGCTGCAAAGTTGCCACCAGTAGATAGACCCGATGTTGAATCACTTGCATTACATTTTAAAATGAAATGGGAGATGGGGTGGTTCAAGGTGAATATTAATTTACTCCCGTCTTTGGTTTGAAAAAATAATATTTATTTCCCTTGATTGATAGATGTTTCGTAAGTATTGCAGGAAGTGAAGAGAATTTTACATCCAGTGGTAGCTGAAGCTAAAAATAATGAAGGGAAAACTCCTAGAGCTTTATTTACTGAACAACACAAAGAGTTAAGGGAAAAAGCTGAAAAATGGACCAAGGACATTGCGAATGCATGCATCATGGGGTCAGCACTTATTGCCACCGTGGTTTTCGCTGCACTTTTCACTGTACCAGGTGGCACCAATGAAAACACAGGGACTCCACATTTTGTTCGAAGAGCTTCCTTCGTAGTTTTTGCAATATCAGATACTTTAGCATTACTATTGTCATGTTTGTCCCTAGTAATGTTCCTAGTTGTTATCTCTTCCCCATGTGAAGAAGCAGATTTCTTTGCGCGGGTACCTCTTGATTTGGCTTTGGGATTAAGCTTTCTTCTATCCTCCGTAATAGCAATGATGGTAATGTTTTCTGCAACTATGTTCATTGTCTTCAAAGATGGGATGCTATTGATGCCTATTCTTTTTACGGTAACGGCTATTTTCACAATCTCCATGTACGTGCATAAAACTAGTACTGCCTCTGGAGAAGTGTTACATTGGGTCCTTGAAAACTGGTGGCATTATTTACTTACTGTACATCAATGTAATATAACAAATGAGTCGCTCATTGTTTCTTATTATGAATGTTATAAGAAGTAATACTCATTTTTCCGTTTTATTAAGTAGGAAATAAATTACCTAATTGTGGCGCTTTATATTCTGTTTATTAGAACCATGTCCTACTAATTAGATTGATTGTTGATCTTATGATGAATGGTACTACTATGTTACCTTTATTTGGCTTTCCTTAAAAAAAAAAAAATTTTTAAAAAAAATTACAATTGAATATTATGATTGAATTTTTAATTCTATAACTAAAAGTGGCAGTTATATTGATATTTTGGAGAATAAATCTTATCAATTATTATATTGCCTTTATATCCCTTACAGTATATAATATTATTAAAAATAAATTTTCAAAAATTTATATTTAGCCCATTTAAAATACTTTTAACACATAAAGGTGTTGCTTCAAACTTAAAAACGGTTAATAAGATGAGGTATGGAGAGGAACACAACTCTCTGTTTTGATGCAGCTAACAAGAACAAAAAGTTGCCGTCGAGTTGAAGCAAAGTGGGAGCAACCCCTTATGTTAGGCCATAGAGAATCTAATGGTCCGCCATCTTTGTTCTGCAACTGAAGAACAAAATAATGCTGATTCCAAATCTAAAACAGTGATTATATATATGAGACCACCCTAAGGTTTTAATATTTAATAGATGAATTGAAAAGATCATTAAGATAACATATAAATCCTTGACATGGGCCTCGTCAATACATATATTGAGAGAGAACAAGAAAATCCATCTTACCATTCATAAATTCAAATTTGTATTTGTAAAATTGATGATGTTCAGTGTATTAATTAATTGTATGATTCATTTTGTATAAGATAAGTCTTAATTTGTGACTCATCTTGTGTGGTATTATAAGACAGCCCATCGTGTTATTAATAAAAGATTATTATAGATGTTACATGCATTATTTATCGATGAATTTATACTGTGAATTAACATAAATTGTTTACTATAATATTTAAACAACTCAAGAACTCCATGTGATTACTTATTTAATTGTCATTTGCAAACAAGTCAATAGAGCTGACAAAACAGCATTCAATAGTTCATACTACGTGCTTTACACCGACTCATAATCTTATATAATAACACTTAATAATTATTAATTATTTAATCCTTGTTTATTTTATTAATTATTTATTGTTGAATGCCATGTGACAATATATGGTAAAGCACATGACATTGACAAGTCAACCGTCTCGTACCTTTTAAATTATCACACTGAAATGGGAGAACGACATTTTCTCACCTAAGGTTTAAATTATTTCAAAATAACATTTTCCCTCTCTTCATTAGGTGTTATTAGTATATTCTGTTAATATTTAATTGAAAAGACAAAAACACTCTTAAATAGTTTATTCTTAATTAATTTATTATAAATTAAAATTTAGTTAAAATAAAATCTTTGTTTGATTATTTATTAATTTAAATATAAAAAATACTTTTTTTCCTTTTGTTTATTTAATTATTTAGAAATATTGATTTCCTATATCAATTAGTAAAAATAAAAAATATTATAAACTTAATAAATTATTGAATAATAGTGATAGGGTATTGATGACATTATAAATAAATATTAAGATCATTTGACTTTAAATAATTTCATAGCATTATTCCTAATTTTTTAGTTAGGGTTAACTCTTTTTTCTTTTTTGACTTTTTATTATGATTTTTTTGGTTAATTAAAAAATAATAAAAAATTTATAAAGTCAAATATTTAAGGGCATTTTTGTCTTTTCAATCAAATATTAACCGAAAACATAACAGAACCTAAAAAGAGTAGGAAAGTGTCATTTTGAACATTGAAGGATACGAAAGTGTCGTTTTCCAAACCTTGGTAGGGAAACAGTCCTCCCAACTGAAATTCATATTATCTTTTGATTATCTTCAAGGAAATTTTTTATAAGTATTCAAATCTCAATAATTTCCAAGGATCCATGGGATTGGATTCCTCGTTTGTAACAAAAACTACACATGATTGATTGTTCTATAATTAATTCATACTATGTTTTAATATTAATTAACTTATAATTTAATTTATGTAACAACACTTATCTTATCATTAATCAACAACATCATGCTGGGAAAGTCGACATATTAATTCTATATATTTGTTCTAGCCAATACTGAAGTGAGTTGTCTCTTTTTACCTTGCTAAATGAAATAAAAATATATATATATTACTATGGTTGGTTGTCTATATTTATTGTTTCTTTAGTGGTCATTTGAATCATGCAAGCAAAATAATAATACATAAACCCTTCTATATATTAACCTCTTATAAATAAATATTTATTCTGATGTCTTTTCTATCTTTTTGAAAACCCTAAAATAGTTGTTCCCTTCGTATTTCTTAATGGGCTCCGTCACTAGGTATTCTATTTAAGTTCTCTGAATTTCATGTAACATCGTTTCTATAGAGTACTTTATAAATTTGGTTTCTCTTGCTAAGCTAGAGAAATTTTATCTACATAAATTTTATTGAAAATTTTTTATTGGTATTAGAAAAAATTGAACATTAGTAAAGATGAGTTTTCTTAATTAATATTGCTACTATACACCTGGCTGTTAAGGATTGGTTTTAAAATCCCAACATTTAAAAAACTCCTTCAAGAAATTTAAATATTATCCAGTGAACAGTTGTCCTTTGATTCAATGTGAACATTACTGGACACAATTATTAGTTAAATTACTATCTTATAATATTTAATTGTGTTATATCTTGAAATGAGTTGTACAATCAATATTAACAAATGACTACCAATTTTCAGTTGAGTAATTGGTCAATACATAACATGCCACCAGAGAAAATTGTTAAACATAATCACTTTCTCTTTGGAAGTGTATATAAGCTAGTTACCTCAAGTCTTTCACTGAACTATCAAGGCTTTTCATCCGATTTTTTTCCTTTAAAAGCTGAAGATATACAGCAAGCCATGCTCCAAACGAGGTAAGTTTTCAAAACCACTTCTTCAACGTAACTTGAATGTCTCCTTTCATCTGAAAATATTTAGTCTTATCATTTAAATCAAACTTAGATCTAAATACATTTACAATTCCTTGCAGGGGAAGAATCAAAATCTAACAAATAAGCCAGACTAAACGCTAATATTACTATTATATATAATCACGGACAATGAAGTATAATAGACATTAAACCCCAAACTCTAAACCCTAAATATAATCGACATTGATCGATCTTCAGAAGAATATTTTTCTTAGCATTATTTCCCTTAAGACTCATCTTGCTTCAACCATCTGCTAAGTCACTCTCTAATGTATAAAATGGAACTTAACAGAACCATTCATCCCTTATATTTTAAAATGCTTCATAAAGCGTGCAACCCATGCATATGATTATACAGACAAACAAGTTTTTTCTGAAAAATTGCTTAGAATAAGCTTCTTCTTAAGCAGCAACAAAACACTCAAACCGCATGCCGACCTGCAAATGTTTCTCTCTAAACATGCACTGATATTATTTAAAATTCAAAACCCAGAAATTTAAATTTATATTCTGTTACATTAAGGTAAAAATTTCTCAAATAAAGTGAAAGTACAAAGAAACAATACTGTCTAGCAAAAGGACTTAAAATTCTACAGCTAAAACTAAGGAAAGGACTTACATGTGCTCTGACTAAGATGAGACTTTTTTGACACTAGTAGATCATTTTCTTATATTAATGTGTCCCAAAGTTGTCTCTAAATGTAGAGTTTTACCCAAATCCATGACAAATGATCTATTCAATGTGCAAACCTAACCTAACCTAATCTTCATCTGGTACTATATAAGAATAAAAGATCTTTGATGTTATCATAGGTATGCAATGATATAATAATTAAACGCAGTACTTCTCTATGTACTTAACAAAGCCTAAAAAATATCTTTATTTCATCACTAAATTCAGGCACATTCTTCATACATTGCATTAGAGAACATATCTAGTGAATTCCACAGTCTTGTTTCTGTTATTGGATCTACAGTAAACAAAACTCTGATCAGCTTAGGAAACTCCAAGGTGCTGACTCCTCCACTGAACTACTTATATATAAAAGGAGGTTATTCTTATCATTTTAGGAATAATTGTATTCCTATGCATCGTTCTTTGAGTATTAGTATTTTCTAAAGAGTGATCAAATGTACTAAGAAACCATCAAATAAAGTGAGTCAAAATTTCTCAAAATCTCAACCGAAATAAAGACACACCAAATTTGACATTAACAAGAGTCTAATTCAAGGACCCAGACCTTCCCATCGAATCTCTATCCCAGCCCAACTTTATGTTGATTTTGCCATAAGATTGCATGCCTTTAATAATCCTGACCCATCTTGGACCCAATTTCAGTAGTCGCATAAGGCCTACCAGAAGCTAGCTACAACAAGCTCTTCCAATTCACAAATTTGGTTATTCCTATCTTCTGCTCAAACCATGCCTAACTATACAGCCGTTTGCAAAATGTTTCTTGAATTTTATAGTACTTTCTTCAATATGTGGGATTCTGCAGATTGCCATCTCCACAAACTTATTAAATTTAATTGTTAAGGAGAAGAGGATTATTTTAAAAAAGGAAAGAACAATTAGTGTGGCTCATTTGAAACAACCAAAAGTTCAATATTTAGAAGAATATGATGCTATTTTCTCTTCAGATTAATCTTGCATCAGCCATTCGCTATGCCACTTTCTAACATACACAATTGAACTTAACAGGTCTACAATTGAATGTTTGCACAAGAAAATAATTGTACAATTATGATATGATTTTGTACTTTTAAGGTTTTTCTATCTGTTTATTATAAAAACTGAACTTATTTGGTTAAATAACTGTGTAAGCATTTTAAGTAAGCATTTTAAGATATATATATATATATATATATATATATGGTTGCAGGTTATTTGCAGCTTTCAGCTTGAATATATAATAATCAAACCGCAAGCTGCAACCCTTTTTTTTTTTAATTTTTTTTTTAATTTTTTATTTTTAAGCATGCATCATTTGACGCTTTTTAGAAGTTACTTAGAACCCAGAAATTTAATATGACCGTGCTGTTACATTAAGGCAAAATTTCATTAAACAAAGTAAAAGTACAATGAGAAAATCCTCCCTAGCAAAATAACTTCAAACTCCATAGAGAACCCCCTAACACTTAAGAAAATCCAAAACTAAGGAAAGGACCTACCTGTGCTCCGGCTGAGATGAGACTTTTTTGAAGGTGGCAACGAATCATCTCCACTTGATCGTCCCCATATATAGTTTCTGCGTTTTCCTGTTGCTCTTACTTCAGGTGTTTTTGGCTCAACTTTTTGTTGTTCACATTTGTCAGCTGATTTCACTTCAGGGGATATCGGCTGCTGAGTTATTTTTCTTCCATCTTCTTCTTCATTAGAAGGAGAAACTTCCTTTAAACGAGTAAATACATTGCTCAATTCCTTCAATGCAGAATCAACAACTGCTTTAAACTTTTTAATTTCCTCATTTCTCCGAGCCAGTTGATCCCTAAGTATATTTCTTTCCGCCACTACTTGCTCATGCTCTGTTAAATATAACAATATTACTTAAAACTAAAACCTTTTTATTCCAATTAAAAAAAAGCCATGAACTTTACTAAAGATTTCCCTCAGAAAAAGGCATCCTCCATTTGATAACTGAATTGAAGACCAAAATTCAAGTTTTAATCCAAAAGAAGAAAATTTTCACTAATTCTAAATGGAAAGCAGTTCAGCAAAATGTTCCAGTTGCGATTCTGACCTTCAATGCCGGCGTCTTGAGCTTCGAACAGTGTTTCCTCACCGTGACGGAGACTGAAGCTCGAAGTCAATGTCGGACTTAATGAACGACATCGGCGAGTGGGTCTGAGATTTTGTCGCTTGAACGCCATCCATCTGCGGAGAGCAGGGGTCCAAGAAGAGGGTGTGCGTAGAGCGGTGGAGAAGTTGACGGCTTTGGTCATGGGAGCAGAGGATGAAAGCTTAAATGTAGATCTGAAGAGATGTTGTGATCATGTGTAGTGCGATTTGGAGAGTCAAAAATTATGAGTCGGTCAGAGACAGTGTTTCCACATTCGTACGGTGTTGAGGGTTGACAAGTGACGAAGACAAGCATAGCATCTTAGTCAAACGTTACTTTTCTTTCCGTGAATATTTTATTGTAAAAGGTCGACCGTAGAAGAAAAAAAAAAATTCTTTTGGGCAAGTTTCAGTGGTACAGATGTAATATACTGAAAACGGAAGGTTAATCAGTAAAGGTCGTTCCTTTTCTTTCTGTGAATAGCTACCGTGTAGGTCTTGGTCTTGGTTTCAACAGAAAGAGAGCTGCTACGGGGGAAGTTATTAAAAAGACATTTGAAGTTTACATTTAATTAAAAGGCTATCAAGTTTTGAAATATGAACTAAATAGCTATATTATTGATTAAGGGTAATTAGTGCTTAATTAGGATTAATGTAATCTTTTCAAAATTATCTATATTTCCATAAATCCGAAATTGTTACAAATAAACCCAAAAACCTTCTTCTTCCTCCCGCCATTAACGCATCTCTACCTGCATCTTCTTCTCTTCTTCTTGCGTCGTCAACATCTTCTTCTTCCTCTGCATCTTCTTCTCTCTCCTTCCTGTACATCTTCTTCTTCCTCATTCCTCTACATCTCTCTTCCCGCATCTCTACCGCCATTACACTTTCTTCTTCCTCCACCATTAAACTCTCTCCCGGCAAAGATCCCCCTCTCCTCTCCTGACATTTCGCCTAAGTATGTGTATCCCTTTTAACATTTTATATTAGATTTACAAAGATTTAATAATGGATGGGGTTTGGGTTATGATTTTGATTAGTTGTTTAGGTTGTTGGGTTGTGTTTGATGTAATGTAGGTTGAAAGGAGTGAAATTTGTTGAAATTAGTTCTGGGTATTTATTTTCTGGGTATGGATCGATTGTAGGTGGAATGACTGAAAATGTGTTCTGGGCACGATGGATCTAAGCGATCCGGTGTATCGCTTAAGCGATCCGGTAGGTCTGGTAATGCAGCAGATAGATCGCTTAAGCGATCAGGTATGTGGCATAAGATCGCTTAAGCGATCTGGTTAAAGTCTGTTGTATGGGAGCAGATCGTTACGCGATCAGTAATGGCATAAGATCGCTTAAGCGATCAAGGTTATTTATCTTAATCGCTTAAGCAATCAGGTGTATCGCTTAAGCGATCCAGTATAAAAACCATGATCGTTCAAGCGATACATCAGACCAATATGCGAATGTGCAGATTCTTTTTAAACTATTGAACCCTTAGTACAGCATTTAAGAATATTGTTTTCTTGCATTACAGTAGTTGGCTATTATTATACATGAGAAAAATTGTTTTGGGTGTTGAATATTTTGGTGAGTGGGTGGAGGAAGAAAGTAGGTGGAAGTGGATTGGGAAGAGCAAAGAAGTTACACCAATTGCTGTGAGCACAGAGGTTAGTTTTGATGAGTTGATTGATGAAATATTAGAAGAGGTAATTTAGTTGCTCGCGTAGTGATATAGTTGTGAGGTATGTTTTAAGCAGAGCTCCTGAAAATTATGGTACCTCCTGCTGTATCAAAGTCGGATGAAAGTGTGAACTTTTATTATTGATATGGCCGATAGTGGTTCGAGGCCGATTTTAAGGGTTTCTTATGTAGAAAACCGTTGGAAGTTGGTTCCAAGGAAGGGATACGAGGATGTAGGCGGAGATTTGCCTGTTGTAATTTGAACTACAGGCCATTGATTTGTTAGCTGAAAATCAAGAGTAGACGGTCAATTGGGTGGTGAGGAGGACACTATAGAAGAGGTTGGTGATGGGGGGCAGAATGAAAATGTTGAGGGAGGACCCCGTAGATGTCCCACAGATGTAGAGATTCCTTTAAATACAGATTATGCAGAAGGCGTAGATTGTGAGGAAGAGAACACTATGGTCGTTTATGCAAGTTCAAAGGGGGCATTGGAGGTAGTAGTGGATCAGCTCATGTCTTTACGGATGGATCGGACTTGCGCATAGGGTATTTATTTGACAACAAGAGGAAGTGGTGAGGAAGCTAAAACTTGTTGCTGTGAAAGGTAATTTTGAGTTCATCACCAAAAAGTCAAATTCATTGGCTGTGACGGTTGCATGTCGTGACCGAAACTGCAAGTGGCGGGTTTATTGTAGAAGGTTGCGGAGTCGGAAAAGTTTATTCTTAGCACTATACCCGTGAGCACACATGTGGTTTGGGACATATTTCAGGTGAGCATCGACAAGCGTCCGCTGATGTTATTGGACAATTGTCAAAAGTCGGTTCGTCGAAGGGAAAGGTCATCTCCTAAAGACATTCAGAGACTTGTGCGCACAGAGTTGGGATGTGTTGTTAGTTACTGGAAATGCTGGAAAGGTAGACAACATGCACAAGATTTTGTGGGGCACGCCGGAGCACGGGTACGCAGTATTAGAAGCGTACCGTTATATGCTTGAGTTGACAAACCAAGTGAGCAAGACGGCTTTGAAGTGGGACGGAATATGATGTTTAAATATTTTTTGTTGCTTATGGTGCTGCTATAAGGGGTTTTGTAAACATGAGAAAGGTGTTGCTGTTGATGGTTGCTTTCTAACGGGAAGATATGGGGTACATTGTTGGTGGCCACTGCACAGGACAGCGAGAATCACACATATCCTGTTGCATGGTGTGTGGTTGACTCTGAGAATGACGAGTCGTGGACTTGGTTTTTTCAGCAGTTACGTACGAGTGCCTGACAGTGACGAGTTGTCATAATATCCGATAGGCACAACTCTATAAAGAAGGGGATTGCCACTATTTACCGTCAAGCACATCACGGATTCTGTATGAGGCACCTTGGTGAGAACATAAAACAAAAGTTTAAGGTGTGCTGCCTCCTTCAGACATACTACATGGCAGCAAAAGCTACCGGGTTGATGAGTTCGAGGAACACTTCCAGCAAATCCGAATCAAGGATGTTAGAGTTGCTAAGTATCTTGAGCATGATGTTGGTTTCGAGAGTGAGTAGAGCTTACTTTCCTGGAAGAAGGTTTGATGTCATGACCACGAACATAGCTGAGTCCATAAATTCGAAGTTGTTAATAGAAAGAGAGTTTCCAATAGTTGCACTTTGATGCAATCCAAGGACACTGTCGCGGTGGTTCCATGAGCGTCGTATGGAGTCAGATATTTTACTACAACCCTTGTTCCGTCAGCTGAAAAATATTGGCAGAACATTGGAACTGTCAAATGCACTGTTTGCCTATCCTCTTAATGCTCAAGAGTTTACTGTGCGTGGCTATGGTCCGGATGCCCTAGTTAACCTTGTTACAAAAACTTGCAGCTGTAAAGTGCTTGACATTCAACATTTACCTTGTCCTCATGCACTAGCAGCACTGAAACACCACGGAAGCCGGATTTTGGTTCAAGAATTTACATGGAACTTTGCTCCCCTTTCTATATGACAGATCACTACATGCTAGCATATCAGAAACATATATCCGGTGCCTCCAGAGAGCAGTGGTAGTGCCGCCAGAGGTGGCTGACATTATCCTCCAGCCGCCATTGAAGAAGACGCCAAAGGGGAGAAAAAGGGTTAAGCGTATTCCATCAGCCTTTGAGGTTCCCCAGAAGATGAATAAGTGCTCATTTGCAAGCAACCTGGTCACAAGAGACAGTTGCCAGAAGTAATTAGGGTCGATTCGAAGAAGGATGAAATTTGATGTTTTAAATTTTATTATTACCTTTATAAAATATCCTTTATATTGTGTATTCTTATACATGGTCTAAATATTGTTGGTGATTTTAGTTTGGAATTAGGCTGTCAAATTGAGGAAAAGTATGGAATTAATACGTGTTGTAATTTTAGTTTGTCAAATTCAGGAGAAAAGATGCAAATGTATTATTGCCCACCATCGCTTAAGCGACTAAGTGTATCGCTTAAGCGACAAAGTGTTTTCGCAGATGGATCGCTTAAGCGATAAAGGATCGCTTAAGCGATCCTTCACCTGGAGTGATGATTCTGCCCGGTGCATGATCGCTTAAGAGATCCCCGATCGCTTAATCGACCAGGGGAAAAAGGCAATATTCGCTTAAGCGATATCACGATCGCTTAAGCGATCATGACCTGGGCAGATCTGCTTCTGCCAATCACATGATCGGTTAAGCGATCCATTGTATCGCTTAACCGATTCTTCTGCAAATGGTTTTAAAATTTAACAGATACACCCCCACCTACCCACGGCCACCAGAGCCGGAATCTGACCGGGAAGGGCGTTTCGATGCACAGTGGTCGGATCTGGCCGATAGGGCCTCTATATGCATTTTCCGGCCAGATCGACCACGGATGTGGCCGAAAAAGGGCCCACGATCCGTCAGAACTGGCCGTAGAGGACGGAAAAATCCAGAGTTGCCGTCTGTGACAGCCAATATATGGCCGTCGTTGTCGGTCAACGACGGCCAAATGTTGGCCGTCGTTGACCGTCAAAGTCGGACATTTCATTGAAAGTCATGACGGGAAGATGTGGCCTTTTCCGGCCACTCGACGGTGGATATGGCCGGAAAAGGTCACAACTGACCATTACCGGCCATTTCCGTCATTCGTTGCTGTCGGCGTAGCCAGAATCTGGAAGTTGGGGGGTGGGGGTGTTTTGTTAATTTTTGAACCTTTTCTTGGTATTATGAATTAATTCACTTAATGGGTCGAAAATTAATTAAAAATATACTGATATTTCCTAAATAATTATATGTTTGATATAAATGTAATAACGGAACAAGTGCTCTGAACATCGTGAAACCTTTAAGCGATCTTTTTGACGTGTAAAGGAACTATATGTTTGATATAAATGTAATAACGGAACAAGTGCTTGAACGAATCGTAAACCTTTAAGCGATCTTTTTGACGTGTAAAGGAACTATATGTTTGATATAAATGTAATAACGGAACAAGTGCTCTGAACGAATCGTAATCCTTTAAGCGATCTTTTTGACGTGTAAAGGAACTATATGTTTGATATAAATGTAATAACGGAACAAGTGCTCTGAACGAACGTAAACCTTTAAGCGATCTTTTTGACGTGTAAGAACTAT